AGCTCAGGTCATGATCCCAGGGTCCTGGGATCAAGCCCCGCATCAGGCTCTCTGCTCAGCGGGGAGCCTGCTTCTCCCTCTCCCACTGCGCCCGCTTGTGTTCCCTCTCTCACTGTCTCTCTCTCTGTCAAATAAATAAATAAAATCTTTAAAAAAATAAACAAAATGTGGCTACTAGTCAATTTAAAATTGTGTGGCTTGCATTATATTTTTATTGGACAGTGCTAAGTGCCTACCAATGATTGAAGAGTCTTAACTGGAGAGAAAGAATAGAAGGGTGGTGGCAGTCAAAGGAAAAAAGCATATTTAGGATCAGATTTGATTGGCATTAAAGTTTATCACTGAAGGTAGTGTTCTTAGAGTAATCCATGGACAGTCTGCCTCAGATTTGCAGGGTGAGGCCAACCCTGAAATTTCAGTCATCCCTAATTCATTATTTGCCTTTTTTTTTTTAAGATTTTATTTATTTATTTGACAGAGAGACACAGCGAGAGAGGGAACCCAAGCAGGGGGAGTGGGAGAGGGAGAAGCAGGCTTCCCGCGGAGCAGGGAGCCTGATGCGGGGCTCGATCCCAGGACCCTGGGACCATGACCTGAGCCGAAGGCAGACGCTTAACGACTGAGCCACCCAGGCGCCCCCATTATTTGCATTTCTTGCAGAGTTTTTAAGGCTACCTAGAGAGAGAGGAGGCTGCAGAAGAGACAGTAACTCTGGTTTTATTAAGGCAGTGAGTGTGAATCTCATTCTTTCAGTTTTTTGATCAATTTTGTTGAATTGGACTTTAGCAAAATGAAAGACGTAGGAAGTTGATGACAGTTAAAGATTTGCGTTTCACAGATTGGGTGCTTGCTTCTTATTTAATAAATGAGGAAAACACTTAAAATTGCCTTATAATTTAGTCTAGCCTTTGACTGAAATGAGTGCTACTTAACTCAGTGAGCAAACTGGGTAAGTGCCATTGGCTTTATGATTTAGTGATCTGTGGAGTGTTTGGAATTTTTACACAGGACCCTAACTACCCCAAAGAGTTGTATGTTCTGGTGCCCTTATTCTATAATACACTTTGTTAAACCTATTTACTGCTTAAGTTATACCACAGCTTAGTATTAAAATTCAAAATCTCCTATGGGTGATTTTGTTACAAGTTGCAAAAAGAATTATCAGAAAAACTCCTATGGGCCAGGATAATTTTAATCTATTTATTCTAAGACAATCATGGTGAACTATTTTTAGCTTTTCTTTATAGTAAATGATAATAAAAAGTGTTATTTTGTCATGAGTATGTAGAACTTATAGATCTTAAGGTCTTTAACAGTTCATATTGACATTAAACAGTGTACGGTTTTTAAATATATGTTAAATACATTGCTTTTGTTATCCACAACCTTGATTAAGGGTCAATTAAAAAACACTGATAATGGGATCAACTGAAGAACACCAACCTTCATAGAAAAGTTACCAGAGGGAAAGACTGCCTGAATAAAATTGTTTACCTGAATGGCAACTTGATTAGACATTCATCAGCTTTTTTTTAATATACACCATTCTTTTTTTTTTTTTTCAATAATGTGCTTGGCCTCCTTGCATAGTTTAAAGGCATAAGAAATAACCTTGGTACAGTGCTAAGATTCCAACACTTTCTAACAGCTGACAGTAGCTGTCAAATAGCAGTCTGTGAAATAGTATCAAATGATTTTCAACAGACCTCAGGAGGCTGCAGAATTTATATTACCAGCACAGAGTAGAAATAGACATAAAGGTAATGCCCAGTTTGCAAATGTTTCCCTTAAAAAAAAAAATGTTGGGGCGCCTGGGTGGCTCACTAGGTTAAGTGTCTGCCTTTGGCTCAGGTCATAATCCCAGAGTCCTGGGATAGAGCCCTCCATTGGGCTCTCCGTTCAGCGGCAAGTCTGCTTCTCCCTTTCCCTCTCCTGCGATCCTTCGCTCTCTCTCAAAAAAATAAAAATCTATAAAAGAAAATAAATTTTTCCATTTTTAAGTTGACTAGAATCTAGAATGCATTTTCTTATAGTATTATAAATAGACTTAGGATTCCAGACCAACCCTCAGACACATCTTTAACATTCCTCATAGTTCTGTTTCACCTTTCTTTAAACTGTTTGTATGATGATTTCTTTAGAAAATATGTTCCCATTATAGGAGGAGATGCCTGATTAAGTCCCCTTTCTCTCTTGTTAATAGAAATTTCTCAGTCAGGGGCCTTGAGAAATGGAAAAAAAACTTTCCATTGAACGCAAATATATAAAGTATTTCTCAAGGACTTCTCTTCCTGGATGTTTTGAATTATGGCATTAAGAGATCCTGGATCTCTGCAGGGGCAGGAAATCCAAATTGCTGTGTCTTGTGTTTGTATGAGTCATTTGTGAATTGAGTCAGGTACTTTTTATTCCAATATAGAGGAGAAATAACACATTTTTCATAGTATCATACAGCATTCAGCAGAGGTTACGTGCGCCAAGTAAGCTCTTTGAAGGCTTATTTGCTTTTGTCTCTCCAGCACTTAGCACAGTGGCCAACACACAAAAGATGATGTGTTTGTTGAATGAATGAATGAATGAATGAATGAAGAATCATTAGCTGGCCCCATGAAGTGCTCACAATTCTACATGGTCTTTCTGAGATTGTGGTATTTCAATACATTCTTTTTATAGCAATATTAAAACTGAATGCCAGATTTTAGAGTGATAAGCTTTTTGAGGTGCTTTGCTTTCTCAAACAAGAAAAACGGCATTTTCCAGAACTCTGTAGATGGGATGGCTTAGTTGCCATCAGCGCACAGTAAGGCAGTTGTTTTTGGTGTAGTGGAAAAATTAGCAGAATAAAGAAATTGCCTAAGTGAATTAGATTGCCAAAGAACACACTGTAATTTTCCAAGTTATGAAAAAAACTTCCAAATCTTGATATCGAGGGAATGCTTCTATTTTAAAATAATAGGTAATAATCTTGCTTTGGCCTTAACTGTAAGTCCCATGTTTTCCTAATTTTTATGCCTCTTCATAAGCCATAGGTGAAGGAAGTATAGCAGAATATTTGTGAGCATGGGCTTTGGAACTCCAGAAGCCCTGATTTTGAAACCCCACTTTGCCACTTAATCCTCTGTGGTCTTGGTGAAGCTATATAAACCAAGTAATCTGGTTTTCTCATTGTAGTAAGGGGATGATAGAGAATCTTTGTCATGCTTATGTGAATTAATGTCTATAAAGCACTTAGACACGTAGAAATGCTGAATACATGTTGTTGATTGATAACTCCTGTATGTGAGTTACCCTTTTTTGCCTTTCCTCATGTTGACCTGTTCTTCAAGTATGTTTGAAACGTTCCTCGCTGCTTTTTAAAGACTTAGTTTAAGGCGACTCCTCCCTGTGTCTGTCATCTCCCTCACTCATCCCTTTTCTGGTAGTTGTTACAGTACTCACCGCGTACTACAGTTATGTGTCTGCTACGTTAGATCACAGAACCTTTAAGGACAAGGAATATGTTTGAATTTTTCTCCATTCCTGCTACAGGGCGTGGCACATGGCATTTAACAGAGTATTTGTTAAATTATTTAATTGACACGTATATGGAAATCTTCTGTAAGTTGTGCGGTGCTAATCAGATGTTTTAGGACTTAATATATGGCTAGCAATGTGCTTGGCATGTTAGGAAGTAGTTACCTGGTATTTGAGTACCAAAGATGAGAATATTATCACAAAACTAATTGTGCAATGATTCCAAATACCAGACTGTTAACTTTCTTATCATCTATATGTAATTCATTTTAGCAATTTTTAAAACCTTATATATAATTGGAAGTTGTATTTGTGTCCTTCTTACCGTAAGCACCCTAGATAGCAGGTTCAGTCCCATCTTTTAAAATGATTCTTCCCTAGAAATTTGAAGCTGATTGGTTTAAATACAATACAATTTATATTTTGTAGTATTTTAATGGCTAAATCTTGAGATTAGCATTGAGAACTTGTGCGTCAGGCACTGAGGACTTTAGTATGCTCTTTGTTTTAAATACTTGTAACAACCCTACTAGATGTGAGCCCTTCTGTTTTCCATGCTTTTATGGAGAGAAGTAAAGCTTTCAGATATAGGGTAACCTGATGGTTAAGTGTGAGATCCAGGATATGAACCTAGGCAATCTTATTCTGGCGCCTAAATTTATAGTTATGCAAGGGCCTGTTCTTTTCACATTTTCTTTGAACTTTATCTGTTTTTTTAATTTAGTTTGAGGTAATATATATAAAATATCTAATATTTGTCTCAGAGTAGTTGCCCAAAAAGTGATAGCTTTATTCCTCCTTTTCTGATATGAGAGAGAAACTCAAAGATAATTATAGAAAAACAAGTTAATAGGAGCAGTATAAAGGATCATAAACTCCATACCTATGAGATTTTTAATTCTTTGTTTCAGTGTTTGTTGAACATCTTCTAATCTGAGAAAATGTTCTTATGTATAAGAAATCACAGAGTATTGGAAAATATCAGAAATCGTAGATCTTTTGTTTCAAACTTCAGGGTTTTGTTTTTTTTTTCCTTAATACCTTGTCTTACGAAAAGACAAGTTACATGAAGACCTCTGTGTGGAATTTTAGATGTGTTTTTGTCACTGTGTATATTTAATTTGTCTCATGTCTGAGCAACAAATATTTGTCATTTTAAAGATTCTTAAAATTCACTTTTGTGGTTTGGTTTAAATGTGGATGAACCTGATATCCAATATCTTAAGATTCGAATAACTTGCAGTTTTACTATTACATAGATTTGGAAATTCAGGCCACATGTTTCCTAATTATTATTACATGTAGCAGAATCCTGCTGTTGTATAGTTTACCTTTTTTTTCTTCCTTAATACCAGCATTATATTTATATAATACATATTTATGTAATATTTATATATTAGGTGTTCTATTATGTTTAGAGATAATGTTTAGTAAAATATTTCAAGCTCTGTATTTCATGTAAGCACTTTTCATTTTTTTAATAATAGGTAAATCAAACTGGGAAGATGATGGTTGGGGAGCATGGGAAGAAACAGACCCCCAAGAACCTGTAAGTCTTTGTAAATGAGTGCATGCTTGTTGAAAGTGGCATTTTCCGTTTGTAATGATGGTGACATATTCCACTGTTAGGTTGACATTTTAAAACCTTCATCAAGAACATCTTTGTGGTTGCTTAATAGTACTGAAGTAGAAACCTTTCTTAAGGATTTAATGGCTTTATAGTTAAGCAGGCTAAACAGAGAATAACTGCTTTAGGATTCTTTCTCCTTCATTAGTTATTATTTTAGACTCCACTTACTCATTCAACATATATTTCTTAAGTGCCCACCATATTCTAGGCATTTTTCTAGGTGCTGCAAGTATAGCCCATGAGTAAGGTACTTGAAATCCCTGTGTGTATTTTCACCTATGGGTAACAGAAAATCTAACCTAAACTGACTTGAATAACAAGGACATTCATTAGCTCATATAGAAGGAAGTCAGGGTAGTATTGACTCATAGATTGGTTGATCAGGAGATTCAACTATGTCATCAAAGACGTAAGTTCTTTCCTTCTGTCTCCTCTGCATATATAGTGGTGTTGACGTCATCCTAAAGATTGTTCTTCTAATAGATGGGGTATGCCACCATGTTTCTTCACTTATGACCAGAGGGAGAAAAAGACTAGGGCTTTCTGTGATTCTTACAGGAGCAGGGAACAACTTTTTCAGAAGCCTCTGGAGAACCTTGCCTATCTCTCTTGGCCGGAATAAGGCCGGACACTCATTTCTGAACTGGTCACTGGCAAGGGATATCAGATTTTTCATCAGTCAGCCTTGCCATTCCCTGGAGTTGGAGGATTAAAGGGTCTGCTTCTCCTGAGGTCCATGACTACAGGGGAGGAGTTGATATCTGAACGAAATCAGGATTTTTTATGAAAAAAGAAGAATGAACATATATACTGGATAGGTCTTCTAATCATCCCTTTTCCCAGCAGCTTATACTTAAGTGGGGAGAGAGAAATTTTTTCAAAAAGAGATAAAAGTATCAAATAGTGGTAATCAAAGTTACATAGAGGATTCAAATGGTGATGTGGTAGCAAGTGATCAAGGGCCTACTGTAGCTTGGATGGAAGGCTTTTCAGAGGATGCGACATTTGAGCTGAGGTCTGAAAGACAGCAGGGAGCCAGCGTGGTGAAGATCTGGCAAAGAGCATTGCAGGCCAGGGCAACAGCTCATGCAGGGGCCCTATGGTGGGACTGGGCTTGGAGTTCAGAGGACATAAAGAAGGCCGGTGTGGCTTGGTAGGACTGAGAGGCTATGAGATGAGGTCAGAGAAGTAAGCAGGCCTGATGTAAGGCTTTGTGAATTTGGAGTTTATTCTAAATGCGATAGGAAACTACACATAGCTGATTTCTCATTTTTGTAAAGTTCATCTTGGCTGCTTTTTGGAGTTGAAGTAGGAAGCAAAAGCGGAAGCAGGGAGACCAGTTAGGAGGCTGTTATGATAGTGTGTAGTTGAGAAATGATGTGGCTTACATTAAGGTGATACCAGTGAAAATGAGAAATTGATGGATTCAGGATAAGTTTTAGAAATAACAGTAAGACTTTCCTATAAGTTGGTTTTGAGGGCTGAAGGGAAAAATAAAATCAGGATTAACTTCTTTGATCTGGGATATGGTGTGGAGTAGGTAAAAAATACTCGATGAGATATTGACACTCCCCAAGACTGGGTAATAGGTACCATTCTCTTCATTTTTGTCAATGTTTAAAAATATCCATAATAAGTTTTTTTTGTTTTTTTTTTTAAACCCTCCCAGATATTTGGCTTGAGCAGCTGGATGGATGGTGCGTGGTTTATTGAGTTGGGGAAGGCTAACAGAATAGGTCTGTGGAAGAAGTGAAGGAGCATCGTGTTGTAGGAAGCGCAGAGCATGCTAATGTCATACAGATTTATAGAAAAGCTCCAAGGGGAGGTGACGAACAGGAAACCATTGCAGAAGGCCTCCTGGAGAATTGGGATGTGTTCAGTAGGATGTAGTGCAGCTCAAGGACGTGGTTACGGCATCACTTTAGCAAACAAACACCTTGTTCCTTGCCCCTCTAGTACTGTGTCAACACGGAGACTCAGCGGGCCTCTGTCTCTGTTTTTACTACAGCTGATTGGCTTCTGCTTTCTCATGATTTAGACTGTTTCTTGGCTGTTATTTGTATCTTTCATTTATCTTGGATTCTTTTTCCTCCTGGTTTCACACCCAGAGCTCATATGAGGATTTGATGGGGTCTGTTCATCACTATCCAGTATCGGATATTTGCGGCGGGTGGGGCATAGTGTTCATGCCAGGCCACTATGTGGGATGTCAGTCTAACTGTCAGTCCTGCCCTCTGGCCGGACACCACCAACAGTCTGGTTAGCTATGGCAAGAATGGGGAGTGGAAGGAAGGGAGAGGAGAGGTATGTGTAAAGAAGGTTGGAGGCTCTGCATGGCTGGATTTGAGCTAACCTCTCAGGGGGAGATGGCTGTGTGTTGAGAATTTCTCAGAAAGGGGTAGTGTAACTAGCAGCTACTTTGCATGTGGTGTTGGGTACATTTACTTTTAGTATTTATTTTCTAGAATCCTGTGGCTAGTGACTATTGTAATACGGCAAGCTTCCGAGTAAGTGTGAGGTTTTCTGGAATTACCTCACAGACATTGCATGTTAAAGTGGACAGACACGTGCATTTGTAAGAAAAAGAGGAGGTTCCACTGGGACAGTTATGGTAAAATATATAAGATGGTGCTGGTGCTGAGTTATTGAACTTACAGACCCAGGGGCCCACATCTTAAAGTGTCTGCTGTGCATAGTTCGTTCTTTTTGGAATGGATTTTTACTTGTGAGTGACGTAGTTGAGGAGTTGTATGTGAGGCCAGTTTTCCTCACGAACATCCGCTACGTTTCCTCTGCTAATTTTAAGGGGGTTAGTTGACTGTTGGGTGTCATAGACCTGCTTTTTGGCTCATCTAGCCAAAGGCTCATCTAGTTTGCCTTTCTTAAGCATACACTTTCATAAGGCATTATAACCTAATACAGTAGAAAATTACTGCAACTACAATTTGGGGTCAGAGAAGCAATAGGCCTGAGGTAAAGCTTTATGAATTTGGAATTTATTCTAAATGTGATCAGAAACCACATTATCTATTTCTGTTTTGGAAAGCTCACCTTCACTGCTCTGTGGAATAGATTATAGTGGGTCTTTTTATTAGTTGTGCCTCTCATACTCGTCAAGGTCATGGGCCAGTTTATTTTATAGCATTTCATTTTGATGCGCCACTGTTCCAGCTGGTTCTGGGCAGTGGGGTCAGTGATTCCTAGTTAGATTGTGTATGTTTTAACAGACTTCCTTTAAATCTGTTAAAGTGTGCCATCTTCTCTTTATTGGCAAGAATATCCTAAATCTAGGAATAACATCTTTTAACTGTTTCAGTGAAAAGCTGAAATATGCTTCTACTCATTCCAAAATACATTAACTTACATGTAGTACATTTCTTCATTTGGATAAGATTTGAATGTTTACAAATGGTCCTCATGGATGAGGGTAGCTTGATGTTCTCTTTGTCTTAACTGATTTGCTCACACAGTTGATTTGACGGCAAGTGACAGAGTTGACAACAATTCTGGGTGTACCAGTCATTCCTAACTATTCTTATTATCCTCCTATGAACCCTGGTCCCTTTCATGATCTTACGTACATGGTGAAGGAGAAGGTATTTGAATGACAACAAAAGTGGGGCAAGACAGTGATATTGAGACGTTACCTGGGTGTTAAAATGATCTTGCTGTATTTAATAATGCTTCTTTGAATTTGGATCCTGTCCTCAAAATAAGACAGCATCTTTGTTAAGGGAGACTGTTTGGTGAATGAGAACAAAAATGGCAGTGTGGCCAGGGGAAAAAGATATGACTTCTGCCTTACACTGCAGCATCATCTAGAATTGTCCACGCATGACATCAGTATGAAGTTTTGCGGAGTAAAACGTTTTACACCAGGGCTATTAGAAATGTTAACACAGCTGAGGTAAGAGACTTCTGTTATTTCTGCTGCTGTCTAGGATTATGAACAACTCCACTTGATCTTAGCCAAAAGGCCGAGAAGCGATAGGATTATGAACAACTCCAAAGGCATAGCCAGCTCTAGAGGCATAACAAGAATCAGAGTAAATTTTGGCAGATGTATGAACTGCACACTCTAGTTAAGGTAAGAGATGTAGCCACCTCATCAGGATGGAGAGGGAACTTTCTGCTGTCCCTTGTTAGGAACAGACCGCAAGCTCAACACCTGCCAGCCCTGAGAGTCTCACTGGTAGGTCTTGTCCACATTAAAGATGAGGCCAGTATTGGAACAAGAGAAAGGTCTCGAAATCAATTTATGGCTGTGTCAGGGTGCCGTAACTGTGAAAACAGTGATAGGGTTCTCCACCGTTGGACTGTGGTTCTCCTGACCAGCAGAGGAGAGCAGCTGACAGTAGAGAGCTGGTGTGTTTTGGTGTTCAGGGGGCTGCGGTGGTGTGTAGGTGAACCACAGGCGGGGCGGCTCAGTAGAGAACAGCAGCAGCTGCTGACCTGGAGGCCAAGCGGCGCTGTCGCATCCAGCAGAAAACGCCGAAAACTTCAGGGTGCTTTTATCTCCACAAGCCTATAGCTCTTTGAGAGTAGTTTCTCATTTTTATGGCAGAAGAGAGTGTGAAGGGCTTTTATAATCAGAAAGATTTAGTACCAGTATGGACAAGGCTTTTTTTTTTTTTTTTTTTTTTAAGAAAGGAGAAGCCTCTCTAGCTTTCTGCGATTCTGAGATGTCCACTGTAATAAGTGCTCAGTGAAGAAAGCATGTTCTAATATCCTTTATCAGTGGGAGCCGCCATGGCCAAGACAGTATACATCCGTGACACGAGTAGGCTTAGGAACTTTAAGGATGGCTTCAGTTAGAGAGGAGGACAAATGTCTTTCTCCTGTAGATAGGTCACGTCCGTATGAGTCCACTCGGCTGCCGTAACAGAATACTGCAGACTGGGTGGCCTAACGGAATTGCA